TTTCCCTTCTCTCTTCTTCAGCTATTTGCTCTTGCTGTAGCTCCAGCAACTTTTCGTTTGTTATTTCCTCAGGAACCACCTCTCAGAGTTCTTCAGTGTCCTCTGTCTAGGTTAAGGTTGTTGTGTACCATATTACTTTCCAATCTTATCATTCTTTTCAAATATCTTAAAGTCAGGCACATTCTACTTCAGCATTTTTCCATATGCTAATCATGCACTCTTTGGTCATGTCATCCCAGGCCCAGGCAAGGTTACTTATGCAGTGGTAAAGTTGTACTTCCAGAACTGCATCAGTGTCTTCCCAGTGTCATCAATTGCAATAATAGCCTACACAAAGGTCCTCCTCAGGTAGTAGGCCCTGAATACTGCAATAACCCCTTGGTCTATTGGCTGGATTAAAGAGGTAGTGTTTGGTGGGAGAAACACTACTTTTACATTGGGGTGGAGGTCATCAATGAAAGGCAGATGTCCTGGAGCATTACCTACAATTAGTAAAATCTTGAAAGGTATACCTTCTTCCAAGCAGTACTGTGGCTCAACTTTTAGCCAAACAACAGACAGGCTTATAAAGTGAACAATAACATCAGGGTGATACAAAATCTCTAGAACAATCAACCGTACAAAATCAAAGGGTAGCATTTGCCCAGGTATAAATCTCAGAAGGCAGGAACGGATAGGAAAGAAGGACAAATGGAAATGGTAAACCCAAGAAGAAAGTGGGAAGAGTGTTGTTACATTGTAGGATTATAATCGATGTTACATAAAAGAAAAAAAAAATTATGACTGGTTGAATGGAAAACCAATTTGCTCTATAAACTTTCAGCAAACACACACACACACAGAAAAAAATGTTCTAAAATAAATAAATAAAAGCCTGAAAGCTTGACATTGACTTGGACCCCTTATGGCAAAGGTCCTTTTAGGCATTTGGTTTCAGAATAATGAGGTTTTTCCCACATTAACCTTTTCCTGGGGCAAATAATCTTAGAATTTATTTAAGGTTTCAACAAATTCTTCTGTTGCTTTTGAATAACCACTTGCAGACTTACCACTAACTTTTACATTGTGTAACAAAAAAACATTGTCTGAAGCACTTGAACCACCAAGAACTAGCAGTAAATTCAATGCTGTAGTCTGTTCCTGCTTTCTCTTTAAGCATCTCAGACAAGTTTTGTGCCTTAGCTGTGATAGTCAACGGGCTGAGAGGGATTTTGTGTTTGGTCTTTAAACCACATCATTAACAACTTCTCTATATCTGATATAGTTTTCTCTTGTATTTTCATTAGCCTTGTAGCTTTCACTGGAGTCAATCTTTTAACAGCTAAGATAACTTTTTGTTTTTGAGGACTGTCATGATTGTCAAGTGCAATATGCCTAAATTACTGGCAATAGCATTTACTGATCTTCCATCTTTGTGTTATTAACAACATTTTGTTTCATTTACAAATTGGCTGTTATTTTTTTGCCTCTTTCTGCTGCTATCATTAACACTAGTTTTGCTCTATTTGGGAGTTATGATGCACTTCAGAGTAATATTTTTGAAAGAAAATTAAACAGAGAGATAATGCTATAACACTTAAGTGACACATGACACACAAGATTGGATTCTGCTACCTCTGAATCAAAGCATACACTGTTTTTTTTTATTTGAAAGTAGGGAAAGTTAACATTAAAATAATGATAGGGCTGTAAGATGGTGGAATAGGCAGAGAAGCTACAAAGACCCTCTTCAACAAAGGAACGAGAAATAAATTGACAGAGGTACAGAAGATAATCCTGGAGCCCTGAGCTTTGAAAGGAAGTATACAGAGGGGGATTAGGCACCAACTAATGGAGGAGCTCTGGTAGCATAGTGGCTAAAGCACTTGACTTCTAACCAGAAGGCTGGCGGTTCAAACCCACCAGCCACTCCTTGGAAGGAAGGTTGGGCAATCTTACTTCCGTAGTGATACTGCCGCGGAAACCCAAGGAGGGGTCGCTATGAGTCGGGGCCGACTCGACGGCACATAACAACAACAACAACAATGGAAAAACTTGAATAAAAGAAGTGACTACAGAGACAGATGGAGCTGTGGACTGTCAGCAACTCTCATGGCACCAACAGCCTGAATATTTACAAGTGCTGTTGGAACTGAGAATTGACCTAAAGATCAAACGTGGTTACCAAGGGCTGCAGGGACGACTGTGTTGGTGGCCTATGACTAGGAAGGGAAACACCAAAGAGGGAGACAACCTGACCTGTGGACTTTCAGCTGTCCAGAAGGTGCAGCCATTTTGATTGTTTACAAGTGGTAGTCATTTTGGATATTTAAAGTGACTGAGGGCACAGACATTTTGAATGATTACAAGCACTGGCCATTTTGGAAATTTAAAGTGACACCATTCTCATTAGGATTCCAGGGACCTAAGAATAGCTCCATTTGCCAAAGATGGCAGGGACATACAGGAGGCTGACAACAGGAAAGGTGGCCGGTAGTGAGTGTATAAGTGCTGCCAACTAGTGAATAGAGGAGAACAGTGCCCTGGTTACATAGGTAACATCCAAAGAAAACAAAAATCATGGGCAAGTCACTACCACATATAATCACCAATAAATATAAACACAAAACATCACAATGCCTTGGAGACAACAGAGCATCACAATCTACACAAAAGAGGTAAGAGAAAGCAAGAGCAACAAGGCACCGGGAAAGAGACCCAGAACACATCCCTGAGGAAGAAGCATCATTGGAACTCCCTGATTAGGAATTCAAAAGAATTGTATTTAGGTATTTTCAACGGATTGAGAGACAGATCAAGGAAGACACTGACAAAATTAAGTAAAAACAGAGAGAAAACCCTAGAACAATTTCAAAAGACAATATAAAAACAAAATGACAAAATAAATGAAAAATTAGAAATGATACAAAATCTACAGATAGAAATCTAGAAGATTGATACAGAATTTTCAAAAATAGATAACACATTGAACAGGCAAAGGAGTAGAATTGAATCAATGGGAGACAGAATTAATGAGCTTGAAGACAAATACCTCAATACTTCTTTCAGAAGGGTTCAATCAGAAAAAAGATCAAAACAAAATGAAGAAAGCCTAAGGATCATGTGACATACCATCAAAAGGAATAACTTACATGTAATTGGAATTCCAGAATAGGAAGAGATAAATAAAACCACACAGAAAATTGTTGAAGATTTATTGGAAGAGAATTTCTCTGGTATGATGGAAGATCAGAATATTTCCATTCAAGAAGTCTAATGGGCCCCAAACAGGATAACCCCAAAAGAAAATCACCAAGACATTGTCATCAAACGCAGCAAAATCAAAGACAAAGAAAGAATCCTGAAAGCAACACAGGAAAAAAAAAGTTACCTACAAGGGGCAACAATTAGACTAAGCTCTGATTTCTCAACAGAAACCATACATGAGAGAAAACAATGGGATGGTATATATAAAACCCTGAAAGAGAAAAATTTCCAACCTAGAATTATATACCTAGCAAACCTGTTCCTCCAATATGATGGTGAAATTAGGAGATTTCCAGATAAGCAGAAATTAAGGGAATTAGTTAAAACCACAACAACCTTACAAGAGATGGTAAAGGGAGTCCTTTGGACAGAGAACCAACAACAGTAATATAAATCAACACCACCACAAAAGAAACACATAACAAAATAATAGCAACAAATTCATACTTGTTGATAATTACACTTCCAACAGAGTAAAAAGAAAACCTACAGATTGGGAAAAACATTTGGCAATGACATATCTGACAAAGGACTCATCTTTAAAATTTATAGAAAACTCCAACACCTCAACAACAAAAGGATTAACAATCTAATTAAAAAATGTGTAGAAGACATGAATAGAAACTTCACCAAAGAGAATATTCAGGTGGCCAGCAAATACATGAAGCAATGTTCATGATTATTAGCAATCAGAAATGCAAATCAAAACAACAATGCAATCCATTTCACCCCAGTACTAACGGCAAAGTTCAACAAGACAGAAAATAACAAATGGCTGGCAAGGATGTGGAGAGATTGGGACTCTCATGCACAGCCAGTGGGACTGTAAAATGAAACAACCACTGTGGAAAGCAGTATGGTGATTCCTTGAAAAGCTGGAATTAGAAATATTATTTGATCCAGGAATTCCATTACTAGGTATATTTCCTAAAGAAGTGAGAGCCAGGACAAGAACAGGTATATGCACAACAATGTTCATCACAGCACTGTTTACAATAGCAAAGGGATGGAAACAACTATGTGTCCATCAACAGAAGAATGGATGGCTAAACTGTGGTGCATACACATAATGGAATATTATGCAACATCAAAGAATAATGCAGAATCTGCAAAACACTGCATAACATGGATGAACTTGGAGGACATTATGCTGAATGAAATAAGTCAATCACAGTACAAATATAGTATTAGTTCATTATGGAAAGAAACTTTCTTTGTCAGTTACCAGGAGTGGAGGAGAAGAGAGGGAACACTGAAAAAAAAAAAAAAAAAGCAAGGAACAAGAAAAAAAAATGCACTGACCCATGTCACTTTAGTTTTGTGTATTTCACTGCACATAAATTATATTTTAATAAAATGTATTTTTAAAATAATTTTGTAATAATTTGAAATAATAAAATAATGAGAGGACATATGGTACATAAGCCAGCAATGCAGGCATTTATTATGAATATCAAGACATACGTATTACAGGTTACATCTGTACTGTACCATTATACACCTGGCAGTGCAATTGCTTTATATACAAGAGACATAAGATACACGTGTTCTTTGTGGAAAACTATTGTATTTGCTACATCCTGTTTTATTCACTGTATCCCATTCTCTGATCAGGATTCTTAACTCTATGTGGTCAGACATTCCCGAAACACATGTTATGCAATACATGACTTACTAGATCAAACCCAAGGACAATGTATGACTGTATACAGACCAAATCCAAGGACAGGCACAGGCAGATACACAATACTCACATGCAACCACGAAACTTAGTCAGGTTGTTATTTGGCTTCTCACATTCAATAACACTGGTGAATGTCAAGGGATTGAACTCGGAGACCTAAAATAATAACATGCACACATTAGAGAAATCTGGGCCAGACTGTTCCATTCTAAAATGCATTAGTCTCTCTGTTTTGTACCACATCAAAGATATCTCATGGAAGAAGTATGCCCACTAATCTTTGTAGAATGCCAATCACACATGAGTACTTAACACAGGATTTTTCATTTTTATAATGAATAATGACTACTACCTTTGTAATAAGTGACAATTACTAGAATTTTATTGGCTATTAAGTGGACTGGACTGACTATAAGTCTAATATAAAACAAGGGAATATGAGATATAGCAATGTGTTGTTGTTAGCTGCCATTGAGTCTCCTCTGACTTATAGCAACTTTATATACAACAGAATGAAAAATTGCCCAGTTCTGCACCATCCTCACAATGCTTGCTCTGCCTGAACCTATCGTTGCAGACACTGTTAATCCATCTGGTTAAGGGTCTTCCCCTTTTCTGTGGATGCTCTACTTTACCAAGCATGATATACTTTCCAAAGACGAGTCCCTTCTGACAACATGACCAAAGATGAGATATAGTCTGGAGGCCATTCTCACTTCTATGAAGCATTCTGGCTGCACATCTTCCAGGACAGATTTGTTCATTCTTCTGGCAGTCCATAGTATTTTCAGTATTCTTCACAAACACAATTCAAAGGCATTAACTCTTCTTTAGTCTTCCTTATTCATAGTCCAGCTTTCAAATGCTTATGAGGCAATTGAAAATACCATGGCTTGGGTAAGGTGCACCTTAGTCTTCAAAGTGACATCTTTGCTTCTTAACACTTTTGCAGATTTGCCTAGTGCAATATGATGTCTAATATCTCTCTCTTTTTTTAAAAAATTTTGACCTGGGTGAAAATTTACAGAGCAAATTCACTTTCCATACAGCAGATCACATACACTTTGTCTCATGACATTGACTACAATTTACCACAATGCAACAGCTCCCTTCCCACTTCCTCCCCATAGTTACCTCTTCCCTGTGTCCATACCTCCATGCACTCCTGCCCCTTGAGCTGTCTCCTTATGCATAAACAGTCCTCCTTTCTCCCATGATTGTTTTCTCCAAGGAGTGTATCTACTTCAGGTAAATGTTCAACTCATATGGCTGTCTTTTGTTTGCCTGGAAGCCACAGGTGTGGGTTCAATTCCAGACCTGAAGGGCAGCTAGGGGCCATAGTCTCGGTGGTTCCACCAGGCTCTATCAAACTAGCAAACTTGGTCCCCCCCTTTTTTTTTCCCAAATGATTTTGAGTTTTGTTCCATATTGTTCTCCCTCTCTATCCAGGATCTCCTACACAGATCCCACTCTGAGTGGTTGACAGAGGTAGCTGGGCACCATCGAGTTCTTCTGGTCTGTCATATAGGCTGTGGATCGCATGGTGTACAAGTCACTAGGACTAATTGTTTCCATAAATTAGGTTTTCTTCTTTCTTTGCTGTGGATGAGGAGAGGCCCATCGTTGCATCTAGATGGCTGCTTCCAAGCTTTTAAGATCCCAGTCACTACTCATCAAAGAAGGAGGTGGAACACTGTTTTTGTGTTAGCTTGATGGCTCCTGCAACTATGGTCCCGAGCCTACAGTTTCAACTACTCAGTCCCTCTGGGTAGCTGACTGTGACCAAGAAGTGACTACAACCTTGTCACTTGTCAGCTCTACTATACACCTGGGAATTCTTACATATCCTACAAATAAACTAATAGGACTATTGTCTGCCAACCCTGTTCATGGTCTTGGGTACACTCCCCACTTCATAGACATACCTAATAGTTCGGCCTGTCTACCCATGTATCCACCCATATACCCATGTTTGCCTTCACTGACAACACAGTACTGTACGTGCAAAAGGGTTCATTTTTGTTGTCTGTACCTCCCATGTACCTATGTCTTCTTTCCCTCAGTGCCACCAAGCTGATCATTCACATTTGGTACATTTCCCTTCTCTTCACCCAAATCGATACTTTTATCTACTATCTAACAGTGTCCCCTTCCTTCCCCTCCGACCCCTAGTAACCAACTAAGAAAATTTCCTTCCATTGATAAATCTCTCCTTGACTTTGTACAATAAGAGACTAATACAATATGTATTCTTCTGTGATTGACTTATTTCACTCAGCATAATGTTTCCAAGTTCATCCACATTATGTGGTGTTTTGCAGATTCTACCTTATTCTTTAGGGTTGCACAGTATTTCATTGAGTGTATGTACCATAGTTTGGTTATCCATTCCTCAGTTGATGGAAACCTAAGTTGTTTCCATCTTTTGGCAATTGTAAATAGTGTTGTGATGAACATGGGTGTGCATATGTCTGTTCTTGTCATGACTCTCACTTCTTTAGGATATATACCTAGTAATGGAATGGCTGGGTC